GGTAGTGTCCATCCCAAGATGCATCATCCATGCAAGTTTCGTCAAGGAAGGGCTTATTGTAAATTGGGAATGGAACTGCTCCAAAACTTTAACTTGGTCACTCATCCAGACAATATAGGTCAGATTCAGCATCCGAAGCCCATCCCTAGATGCATCATCCATGCAAGTTTGGTCAGGCAAGGCTTATAGTAAATTGGGAATGGACCTGCTCCAAAAACTTTAACCTGATCACTCACCTGGAAAATGTAAGTCAGATCCAGCATCCTAAACAAGACTGGTAGTGTCCATCCCTAGATGCTTAATCCTTGCAAGTTTGGTCTAGATAGGGCTTATAGTTACTTAGATACATGGACTCCTAAAGCTTTAACGCCACGCCAACGCCGGGGGTATAGCATTTATTAAGCTCATCTCGACTTCGTCGAGGTGAGGTAAAAAAGGGAAAACAGTTCGAATATATAGCGAAGCCATGGCAATAAAAATGAAATAAACAATTATTTAATTAGAAAATTTTATTAGTTCCTTATAGTAAATGATTTTTTTTCACTTATCCATGTAAGGTGGATATTTTTTTTTATGAATGTTCAATAATATTTTGAGAATTTACATTATTATTCAAACGTTTTTCTCCATATTATATAATATTCCTTATGCATCATCATTAACAGATGTGTACTTCAGTAGTTTGAGGAAATATAGAAAATGCGAACAATGACTAAAACTAACACATTCCTGAGCAAACTTTCCTTTTAAAAACTAATTAATACCGCATGAGTTACAGAGGGGAATAATTTCTATTTTCAATTAAGGCATTTCTATTTTCCGACAAAGGTTATACAAGAAAAAGACAGGAATTTCAAATAATTCCCTGTATAAACATAAATTCCTAATTATAATCGAGTTTTACGTAAGTTTTAACTATATTAAAAACGGTACATGTGATAATTCATGAGCTGAAAATTTTAAAAGTCTTTGCCCAGACCAAAAACCCTTTTCAAATTCCCCCCTTTAAAAAAATCAGAGTTTCATGTTTGGAATTTTAGCATTATGGATATGGTAAAGAAGTCTTTCATGTATTAGTATTTTATTCATAAAAAATCTGCATCATTTTCTAAGTAGTCTTCAATCCAAAGAGGAATAACTCTAAATAAATTAACCCATTCTAATGCAATAGGAATATATGCACTTTCGAATTGTAAGAGAAAATGGGAATATTTGTTCAAAAGTAAATGTTCAATAACATCCCAAGAGATGTTAAGTTTCCTGTTCGTTTTTATGTCAAATTGTCGTCTCAATTAGTTAAAGTAGGTGTTGCAATCTAATTTAAATTAGATCGTTTACCCTACACAGTCATAAAATAAGAGCATTCTGGAAATAAATCTTCTAATAGAACTGTTTCTTGTAGATATATTGCACTGAAGCACATAAATTTAGATTTCCTTGTAGATTACATGTTAGAGTCTATGGCTATCATGAATTACGATAGCCCCAGCGTTTAATTGGTTTGTGAAAAAAAAAATATGAATCGACATTAAGAGGCAATGGCGTTATTTAGGAAATATGGTATATATATAATAAAACATTTAATGGACTTTTTTGCTTAATTAAATCTAATCCATTGTTAAAAATTGCATGTGCATTTAGAAGAGTATGACTGTCAGAACTTGAAACATATGTGACATTGGATTGATTGATTGATTGATTGATTGATTGTATCTTGTTTTACGTCCCATTCGAGAATTTTTCACTCATATAGAGACGTCACCATATATCGGTGAAGGGCTTCAAATTTTGACCTTTACTCCGCACTCAGGGCCATTGAGCAGTGAGGGTTCTTTATCGTGCCAACGCCTGCCGTGACACGAGGCCTCGGTTTTTAAGGTCTCATAAGAACGACCCGAAAGTTTCACTTCAAAGTGCCGAGCACCTATTTTTTTAATCGACTTAGGTCAGTCGCGGCCGAGATGTGAACTCAAGCCTTCCGATCACGGAGCGAGCGCTCTACCGACTGAACTACCGTGACGGCTGTGACATTGGAGAAAGCAAAATTTTATGTTATATATACTGTGTATACATTACTTCGAATGGTTGATTTTTGGTAAAAATATTGTTTTAGACATTCTGAAAACAATTTAGAAATCATGAAATAATAATAATTACAATATAATTTTGGTGTATAACGAAGGGATAGAAAAAGTGATATTCGAGGGACGTGTCGTCTGTCGTGAATCATCGATTTGTACATTTACAAGCAAAACCTTTATAAAGTATGAATATACATTGATTCTTCTCTTTTACTATAATAAAAAAAGGTCTTCATCTACGTAGATTTTCTTTCTCGATTTGTTTCACATGATGCATTCTTAATTAAAATTCGTACTATCTGAAAATGCTTTTATCTTGATTCAATTGATCAAAGTGTATTTTTTATAAAGAATATTTTTGAAATGAATCCCCTTAATATCTATACATAAAACTAAATCTAACTTTGAGCAGTGTTCTGTAGAAGACCAAATCCACCTATAGATATAGGATCAGAAATTAAAGACCCTTTATTATCTTGTGGACATAAATTTTAATATTTTGGGCTTCAGAGATCTTTTATCTATACCAATGCTTTTTATCTGTTTAATTAATGAATCGTGTTTATTAGAGTCATTAATGAAATGCATTTTTTTCTGACATTCATACGTAACACTTTGGTCTCTTATATGGTTGCTCATTGAAGAACAAAAATATACATGTTTATATTTTCGTCTGAAAATATATTTAGATTCCAGTTAATCCGATGTCAGTATCATTCTAGATTTGTTCAACAAAATAAAACTTCCTTTTTAGAAAAAGAAAATACGATGTTTTCCTTATGTATTACATTGAAAAATATTCTATATCAAATTTGGAATTTATAAGATGGATATGACTTGTTCATAAACAAAATTAGTTTAACTAAAAAAATTTACATATATATGAAAGGTGAAAATAACAAACGATGATCAGTCTAATATAAAAAAGTAGACAAAACGAATCATGATCAGGGCAAAAACATGGACCCCTGGAAACACGAGAAGTTGGATCAGGTTCCTAGGAGGAAGGACTAAGCATCCCCGTCGACTGGTCACACCCGACGTGAGCCCTATCGTATTGATCGGGTAGACGATATCTCCGTAGTCAGGTTCAACATAAAATCAACTACCCACAAATTTTATGAAACATTTCAAGTAAAATACGACCCAACGGTAGGTTGTATACACACACAAGGTCATTATAACGACCGTATAAATTAGGAAAAACTTAAATTTAAACGCAGTTGTAAAAATCCTTGTAACATCAACTTATTTGTCAGTAGCTTGTCTCCGTTTAAGAATTGATCGTACTTGGAGCATGCTCTTGAGTATCAAATAAGTTGGAGACATAATCACCATATGCAGGTAATGTTAGAATATTACTACATAGATAAGGGAAGTTAACGATGGAAAAGCTGAAGTCATCCAATTTGTCATTGAGTTTAGGTATTAGTTGGCAAGAATGATAAAAATGATAAAACGTCGTCGATATATCTAAATGTTGAGTTCAAGGAAAAAGAAAGAGTTTTCTTTTTCTCGTAAAAACGTTTTTGAGTAAATTCTGCTTCATAGGAATATAAAAACAGGTCATTTTATAATGGGACACAATTAGTACCCAGCGAAATTCTAACAGATTGTTGGAAGACCTGGTCTCCAAAGACTCTGATATTGTCAATGATGAACCCCGGCATCTTTTTAATATCAACTTCAGAGAACTTGTATTTAGAATCAGAATAATTTTTAACAAAGTATTTTCGTAGATGACCAATCAAAGGATATGAAAATTTATGAGATCCATTTTTATGTAACTAATTATGAGTTGTGATGTTCATGGTAAGGACGTTTTCAAAGGATTTTCATATATATATTTATGTAAAACTCATGAACCCTGAATTTAGATTTTAAACCTGTAGAAATTATCACACCTACTCAAAAAAAGAATTAATTTGAATTATCTTCAGACACATCAATATTATTCTGATATATCCTTATTTAAAACTGAGAACCAATTTTGTGGGTTCATCCCAGTACTTTGTGTCATTGCTTTAATAATTTTGAGGATGCACATGTTGCTCCTTTTCATTACACTTAATATCTTAAGCTAAGATTTTCGGTATAATTATAACAATAATGGATAATTTTACATAAATGTTGATATTTTCATCCAAGTGGCTCTGCAGAAGATGATTACTGATCACCCCACCCTATCAACATTAGGTCTTAATCATTTCCCTTTGCATTGGATGAGGGCGTAGTCCTTCATTTGAACATGACTTTGAGTTATTCTGCCAGATTTTGCTGAATTTGATTTAAGATGATCAAGCAGTACAGAAAATAAAAGAAAAAAAGCGAATGATAAGTAGAAATTTGACCACATAAGCTTAATTAGACCATGTTAGGAAATATAGATTAAGAAATACAGTCCAGCAAATTAGTTCAATGATTATTTTCAGGTATTCTATGATATGACGATCAATATGAGCGAATTATCGGCCTCTATATATTTATAGGATTATGGAATCCACAGGTATACTTAAATCCAGAAAAAATGAGTCTTTTATTTAGTTAATATTTATTTAATTAACATTAGATGACGTATTGGAATTAGAGAGCAAAACAATGCATATAACATTCTTTATGTAGAAAGTAAAAAAGAAATCGAACAAAACCACAATAACAGCTTTAGATTAATACAACTTTTAAAAAACGAAACTCATAGGTCTCGTACATGGATACATTTTGTCTGAACAATTCAATAAAAGTGTGAATATTATTTTATATGAATTAAAGTACAAGTACAAATTTAGTATTTGTTGTAAGGTGAATGCAAGTTTTATTTTGCACTTAATTGCATGAAGCAAATAATTTGTAAAGTACAAATTTACACAACAATGTCATTAATATTTTGCTAGACAGAACCAAGGCTTGAGTCTTCCACATTTCATTATAACAGTTTTAAGAATTAAAAAGTAAATATTTATAATGCTCAAATAATGCGTGCTTTCCACAGTTCTTAAGATATTTTTCTTTTTGATTTAATCCTGTAGATTAATTTAATAAGAAGATTGGCACAAGGATACGACACTGGTAATAAATCTTCCTCTCCTTTAGTTTAAAAATATCTATTATACATACGTAGCAACCTGGTCGATTTCTTGAGAAACATTCTTTCGAGAAAGAATATTTATCAATGGCACTTGAGCACATTTGTTGTTCTCGTTGTCCGAAATACGATTGCAAAGAAAAATTTTGAAAAGATTCCCAAGAGCTCTTCTGTAATTTACACTCCATTTGACGTAATAAGCGAAGTTAAGACAGAATGATAGGTAGTATATCATTTGACAAATCTGGACAATGGCCCAGCTATCAGGCGAGGGAGTCTCCTGCTGGTCCTTCATGGACAAAACGATGGATCGAATTTTGTTCACACAAGATGGAACAGATAGCACCATATAAGACGATCCTATTGCTAGTAATACCCGTGTAATTCTGGTCAAAGATTCGTTCCTGTTTCCTCTAGATTTATGCTTGTGTGTTTCAGGATGAGCCATTTTACATCCCGGGCTACATGGAACTCGAAGTATGATGTGCTTAAGATAAACAGCACCAAGAAAGAAAGCCATAGCTATAAATGGAACGGCAAGGGTGATTATGATGTCGATGTAGGTAAAGACGTGTAGTGTTTCATGATAATCCTTTCCAATAGCACAGTAAATCATTCCGTTCTCGTTCTGTAGTTTTGTTGTCCACAAGGCGAATGAGTACAAGAGTATAGCCGTCACGGCAAGCGACGTCACTATGACCCTTGCTTTGTAAACAGTGCAGACGATAACAGCATAACGAAGGTTAATAGTCACAACAAAGTTTTCAAAAGTGATACAGACGACATACCACACGGTAAGAAAACTGCAGACATAAGTTATGTAAATTATGGCCTGGCAGAGGACCTCTTGATGAAATAATTGAACTCTTACGGTCTCTAGCCACACGAGGAAATTCGAAAGACAGAACACAAAACTGGTACACGATAAGGCTGTCAGATAAACGTTTGACGAGGCATTCCTTAAAGGTTTAGAACAGAAAACAAACACGGATATAAAATTTCCTAGAAAGCCAAGAACACAAAGAATAGGTTGCACATAGATGTACATATACAAGGTAAAGAAATATAAATCTGAGGACGAGTTAAATGACGATTCGTTGCCTATACTTTGTTGAGTTAAGTTGAGATAGTTAATCAACTTTTTACCAAAACTATCCTCGGAAATTGGATTCGCCATTCTTCTGCTTTGGTGGTCTTTTATAGGATGTGCATTCATGAGTGCCTGTCAAATAGGCCAGAGCTGGACTTCAATGAAGCTGTCCTCCTGCAACGATTGTTTTTATTCAGATCAAAGGAAACTCTTTGGTTTATATCTGGATACTACCAGACATCGATTTTACTCGTCAGAGAAGCTGTAATTACACTGCAAATATACCAGAAGAAAAAGGTTAAGTAGAATTAATTCCATTATCGGCGAACATATTCTAAGTATTAGTATTTACTTAGCAGCCTGTACAATATAGAATAAAAATTTGACACATTCTTTTTCTGATTCATATTGACCAAATTGAAGATAAGAAAATTATGTATCGGGACAATCATCTACCATGACGTGTTCTTCCTTGATATTTCTTTTAGGGGCACATAAAATTATTTGCTATAGCAATTGTTAATACCGGGTAATACCATATACCATACCATATTTTTTTCAACCTTGATTTTCCCTATTTTTTTAAATTTATAACTGTAATTTAATGTTGTTTGTATTCTAGCCTCTGATTGGTTAATATCCAAAAAGGAACACAAATTATTTCTGTATAACCTGGTTTGGTATGGGGACACACCCCCCTGACAACCAGCTGAATCATCTGTATCCATACAATCCTCTCATTTCCAGTCCTCGGGATTCATGGAAAATTCCAGATTTAATAAATGTACCAAACAATATTTCGATCTTACCACATGTAAACAAACAGCAAGGCTGCTAGGCCTTAGTATCAGTTTTTACCTCCCCTCGCTTCCCATCACTTCCGATACTTCCTTTATTACGGTTGTATTATTGAGCGGCAAATCTGAACTAATAAAAAGCAACGAAATTTTACACCCATAGTTATTTAATGATTTTAAATTAAATTATAAGGAATGTCTCTAATTCTTGGCCAAATTATTCGAGTATATCCGCGAAGCGGATTATAAAACAGCGTAAACTTACCCAAACCAGGTTATACTCGAATAATTTGGCCAAGAATTAGAGTCATTCCTAATATATATATATATATATATATATATATATATATATATATATATATATATATATATATATATATATATATATATATATATATATATATATATATATATATAGTTCGAATCTCGGCTGCGACTGACATAAGTCGATAAAAAATGGGTAGCAACTGTTCCTTCGCCATGCGCTCGGCATTTTTTGAAGTGAAAGTTGCGGGTCCTTCGGATGAGACCTTAAAAACCGAGGCCCCGTGTCACGGCAGGCGTTTGCACGATAAAGATCCCTCATTGCTCAATGGCCCTGAGTGCCGAGTAAAGGTCTAAATTTGAAGCCCTTCACCGGTATATGGTGACGTCTCTATATGAGTGAAAAATTCTCGAATGGGACGTAAAACAACATACAATCAATCAATCTATATATGTTGTATGTTCTTTGACCTGAAGATTTGTTTTTAATCGTTTTAAATAAAATGGGGAAAATAAGTCAACTAGGACAAATAAAGTTTGCAAGTCAAAAAACAAAATGGTTGATCTGTAGGAATGCTTTAGAAACTTACACCAGTACAAAAGAAAAAAAGAAAGAAAAAGAAACAACAGAAAAAATAGAGAAAATGATGCCATCGGTGATGTTTATCGTTATCTAGAATGAAGAAGTGGTTACACGTATTCGAAGTTCTCAGGAAGCCTATATCTATACTAAATAAATTCAGTCTGTCTTGCAACACTGTAAGTATGCATTATGCTTACCTTTTAAATAAATTAGTGAAAATTTAAGTCAAGTCTTTATCGAGGATTAATGAATTTATGTCAATTCATATAAGCTTATTCAAAAATGGAGTTAATTAACCTAGAGTGCTAGAAAGTTTTTTTTCCTGATATGAACAGGACAAGAACAAAAAATGATGTTTACCAGAATATCTTTTTCAAAGGTAGAAATAGGGACTGCATGTAGCTATTTCTTGTAAATGAGACAAAATAATCCTGACATACTCATGTAATTTATTCTTGAATAGTGAATACATGAGGATATTCAATGTTTGCAGATGAATATGGAATTTATTTCACGAGTGGGACAGGATTTTTTCATATTTCATGAGTGCGAAGCACGAATGAAAATATAAAAAAAAAAATCCTGTCTCATGAGAAAAATAAATTCTGTATTCATCCACAAAACATTGAATTTTTTGTTTATTACATTTTCTTTGATTTTCCCTTTGTCTCTGTCTTTTCGTAACACATTGTCATGGGATAGGCTGTGACATCCTAGTTGAGCGGTTGAAACGTCATAGCTAAGCAATTGGGAGACTGAAAAACGTTGTAAACATGGATTTTTAAGAACACATTTGGAGAAACTTTGGCAGTTTTAGTCTATATTAGGATGGTATATTTACTCTCACTATCTTATAACAGGCCAGGGAGTTTTCTTAAAAGCAATCTTTCTTGAAGGGAAGGAAAATCGAGAGTTTCTTCTGTCCATTTCAGATCATGTGTCAGCCAAATTGTTGCGTAGCTGCTAGTGCATTATATGAAAAAAACATTTTGTTCTGGAAACAATGATAATTGCTTTAGGATAAAAAGATAATAAATGGTTACAGACAATGACAGAATTGTGTCACAAGTAACAAGTATTAAATGGGTCTGTGGAAAAGTGATGTGGAAAATCGCTGCAACAAACATTTTATCCAAGAAATATCCATAAATCATACTATTCAATTGGAATTTATTTGTGCAAATTTTATGTATCATTATATGTTACATATAAAAAATTATTTTTTTTAGCGATTTAGTACATTTCTTTTGGTAGAAAATTTATTTTATTACTTTTTTCATATGCTATGCACTGGGAGATAATTTAATCAATGATCTACCGAAGTGACCGTAAGTTGACTGAACATTTTGCTAGTGTAGAATCATTTTTCACAATAAAAAATGTCAAGATCAATATTTTTCTGACAAGGCTTTAAATTTTATGACGTGAATTCAAGTGCGTCATGTTTAATGCTTCACTCACACTGACACTTAATATATCATCCAAGAACGCTCCACAGCAGCGATTTTTATTCTACGAAATGAGGAATGTAAATCACATTCGCTCTAAAAGCGGAAGTTGCATGTGCTAAATAAAATGTGGTTTAATTTATTTCCTGAAGGCCAAAGAAGATACATACTATAATCAAGCTTAAGCTTTGTATTAAAATCATTATGCCTAACAGCATTTGTTCATATTATAAGTTTCTTTGGATGAAGGTTAATTTAATTATAAATGCCTCAAGAATTTGATATCTTGGTCCATCCTAAATCTCACGAGACACGTCCAATGAGGTGTTTAACAGGTCGAGGAAACTATTTTCTGTGACGTCAGAATAAATTTACATGCTAAATGAGGCACCAACGTGACTGACAAACCGACCAATCAGCTAAATGATTTGCATTATGGGTTACTACAAAAAATACTACCATGTGCGTTTCGAAAAGGCCAATTTTTCAAATCGCTCTCGGAAAGACGGGATGCATTTTTCCAAGCATTTTACACTCTTAATACAATATGTACAACATTATCTACCAATTCCATGCTCACATTCACTTAAAAATGTTTTACAACTTTAAAATATGGGTTTCCTACACTCCATTGTACAAGTCCGTTAGTTGACAATTTCCTTTCAGCTTTTTCCCAAGCTGTACTATCAGTGAATATGAATTTCACGTGACTATTTTCTGGTCCAAAACAATCGACTCTGAGGTGTACTCACGTATTGTCATAGTTTACTATGTATACAACTTCTATATATATGCTACTTAATACACGTTCTATGGTCAATATACTTGAGAATTAAAATACCGTACAGCAATAGACTTACGTTTTTTTAATAACTGCATTAACTTTTAATTTCTAGTAAACAAATGACAAAGTAATAACGAATAACACCAGTAGCATGGCGAATTTACGAATATCAAGTTATAAAAACTGGGTTCTTATTTACTTGAAGACTTTGTGAGCGGTATTTCAACGTACTATTTAACACGGAAAATTGACTTTGTTAATGTGAGCATGGAAAATCTTAATTAGAACCTATTCTTCGTGTTTTTCACAAAAACATTCAAAATAATTATTAGTTGACTTTCCCGCAGTCATTTGAAATCGCGTCCTAAATTTGCCTGACCCACGTGTTTGTAGTAAAATACAAACATGTAGTAGACCATCATGCTTTTCGGCTCATTCATTGGATTGGACCATTGTTCGCTGTAAACACCTCTGTGCGCAATTACAACAATATCCATATAAGGTAGATTCCTCGACCTGTTTAAGGAGGAACAGGACCTAGAGCTGAAAAAAAGATCTAGTCAATGATTTTTTTTTTCATATTTTGTATATACATTAATTTTTAAATGTAAAATAGACACTCCGATGCAAGTTTAAAATATAGTAAAATTACATAAACGGAATATTTTCACCTTTATTTTTCATGAAACACATCGTCTTTGTAACAATAACAAATTTTACTTCTAAGCCAAGGTATATCCAGTTTTTAAAAACATATGCAAGCGTATGGATTTTTGCATTTTTGAAACGTCTTCTAAAAGTATTACAAATTTTCAGGATCAAACAAATGTGTTTAGCAGCGTTCAGTGTAATTCAATGCAAAAAAAAATATAAAATAACCAGATTACATGGAATATATATTTTCCTGTACAATGATTACAACTGTCATATCCCCTAAAATACAAACATTGTTTTTGAACGATGATCCCTGCGTGCAGGTTTGCCGGCCTGAGTTCGACTCCAGGTGATGCGCAATGCATGACTTACAGCTTTCTTATTGTTCTATCGTCAGTCACCAGGTATTAGTATTATAAAAAATATGTAAAAGTCTTATGTATTAGGAGGGTTTGACAAAACCCATACACATTGACGAAGCGTTACAAATGTTAAGTTCTTTACAATCAATTGCATGTACATGTAACCCATCCATCTATCCATCCATCCATCCATCC